CTCCGAAAGACTAGGTCAAAATCTTCTTTTCAAATAGTAAGGACCCAAGGATGAGGAATGCTGGAGAAGAGTGTACGTGGAAGAGTTTGGTTTCGCAGCCTTCCCTGCCAATTGATCGCCTTTTATATAATCTCGAGGACGGGAGGGATCCAATTCTACCCCCAAAGCTCACAAAGATTGTCTTATTAATTATTTTCACTTGGCAGCTATTTGTGGAAGGAAATATCGAATGTCGCGTTTCGAATTAGTTTTTAAAAAAGTTGTAAAAATATTACAACATGTATCCATCTGTCATTTAATATAGCAATTCGAATATGACATTAATTACAAGATTCTTTGTAATTTTCGGACAATATTACCGCCTGAAACCGATAAAAACGTAACTCATTACTCGAGCGCCAATAAAATCTCATCTCCCGGCTTACAAATTATTAGGAAGGAAAGGATACCGCTAAGTCATAACAATTATGAACGGAAGATATAAAAATCACTCAACTTCTATTCATTCTAGACGCATAATCGATTTCTCCCCAGAAACTTCCTTTGAAAATTCAATACGGTGCTTGTGATTAAGGGGTGTAGATAATATTCCTTGAAAAATATAAGAAGCTTTCAATAGACCTCGTCTCCTTTGTCCGTGGTATACCGGCGTGGGTGGTGGCTTTATTCATTGAAATAAATGTACTTCAATTAAATCCTGAAATTCTTCCCAATAATATACCAAATTGCATTAGAACTTCGGAGATCAAAGGTCTTGACTAAATTGAGAAATCAAGTGTATTACAATGTGTCAATAAGACAATAACCAATTGTCGGATATTGATACCTAATGAGATAGTGGACACTTCTTAATAAATCAGTTTCTGGAAAATTAACAAAGGAGTAGTGTTGCTTTAGTAGGAGTTGCACATTGTATAGAGAAATAAAATGAACATCCAAAGTGAAGTTTTCTAGAAAGTTGTTTGATGTTTTCGTATGAATCATCAATTCGATCGTATCATTAGGGTAGTTTCAGTCCGTTTGAATCATACAAGAGACTGTGTAGAAAGCGTATTATTGGCATCGCTTTTGAAGCAAAAGCAGTTATATATTAATAAACCACAAACTAGCAGAGGAATTCTCTGAATCTGAAAAATAATTGGATAGATATAGTGATCCGTGAGAGTTTAATGCGATATTCTACAGCAGAATGCAGAGTGTTGCAAAGATTTTACGAAGATATTGGTACATAAAGTGTACCCTTAAGTTAAAAGTTCACAATAAACAAGAGGTAGCGTATCACATCGCGCCATTTATACAGAAATCTTTATTGAAAATTTCATTTAAACTAACATATTTACGTTCTCCACATTCGCCGCACCTGCTACAAAACATTATACATTCACACTCCACAACATCCCGAATATTAAAACTGTTAACATACAATAAAGGAAGAAATGGTATGAGGAAATTATCCTGATAACTTTGTGGAATATGCAAACAAGACATTTTTGATCGAGTGTAGGTGTACACTATGACTGGAAATAAAAACGGTTATAAATCGTATACCGTATCGATCCTCCGTTTGTTAAAAAGAGCTCCATTTCGGCGTTTTTATGCATACAAAAAAGCGTGGGGTCGTCTTTACACAAGCACCGATTATCATTTGTCAAGCATCAGTAAGGAACAAAAGGGTGGCAATAAAAAGAACGAGAACAGTTTTCATTTTTACGGCCTGCAACTTACAATAAAAACCATTTGTATACCAACTTAGGTACTTGTTTAAACGTGAATACAAAAAGATGGTAAAATGTAAAGCTATTTTTATTACAGTTGCAATGATCGGGGTTGTTCTTATCTGTGTCTATTACACTTATTAGTATAACGCAAATTTTGAATAGAAATTCTGTATCAGATAAGTGGGAATAATTTTTTGTAAGGAATTTCCAAGATTTTCTTACTATAACTTTTCTTCTTATAATCAAAAGTATTTTTTATAGTCCGCATTATGAAATAAGTGAAAAGCTCCTCCTTCGTCAATTCTCTAAGATTTTTCTTAGAGGGGCATGTTAGAGTTAGAGAAGATGATGCCAAAAATATCACCAGAGTATAATAATTAGAATTAATAATAATCTAATGACACAAGCAAAATATACAGGAAAGTGAAAAGGAAATAGTACAAAGAGACGTGGAAATCTTGCCAAATATACAGGAAGAGGAAAAAATGATATGTAATAATACAGACGAGGAACAAGAACGTAAAGTAGGTAAACACTAAAGACCAAATAAAAAAACACCAGAAAGGTTTAATGACTATCAGTTATATAATGCATACTGATTTGCTACAGAAAATGACAATGATCTTGAAAATGATAGTGAAGCAATAGAATCTGGAAAACAGTGGAGAAAAACTATGCAGGGTAAGCTAGAAGCTCATAAAAAATACAATACCTGGATACCTGCAAGGTTGCCATATGATAAAATAGCAACAGATACTAGATGGCTGTTTAAAAACAAACCTAGTGGAGTTAAGAAAGCAAGGCTATAGTTGCGAAAGGTTATCAGGAAGAGTATCACTATAATAATTACGCTCCTGTAGCGAGATATTCAACAATCAGAGCATTTATTTCATATGCATTGCTGCAACTCAATATAGACAATTGTATAAAAATATCAGAAGGTGAATGTGTAAGTAAAAAAAAGTCTTTATGGTCTCCAAGAAGCTCCCAGAGCCTGGAATGAAACTTTTGATTTATTTGCAAAAAATAATAATCTAAAACGTTCAAATCATGATTTTTGCTTATATACTGGAAACAATGTGTGATTTTTGTTATGGGTTGATGATATTTTGGTGATGGTATTTAATAGCGATAAAATTGTAAAATGTTTAACACAGCAGTTTTCTGCGAAACATTTAGGTCATATAAAAGAGTTTCGTGGTATGGAGTTTAAGTACAAAATAAAATCAAAATTTTCAAGAAAAACTTATCGATAAAATTTTGAAAAAGTTTAAAATGGAGGATTGCAAAACCTCAGAAACTCCTATGGAACAGTTATTTATTATAGAAGACGATAAAGGGATATTTTAACCATTCAGTGAAAGATACTTTCACGAGATGGTTAGTTTCCATTTATCGTCGTGTATAATACAACACTTTATTTTATAGCAGAAGCCATATAAATCATTGTAAAGCTTCTGACAATACTGAATTTAATTTAGAGACGTCAAAAATAGCAAGCTTAGGTTCTGCCGTCGCGATCGTTGATGTAGAAACAGAATTGTCATATGTTCTGAACGTCATTTTATATCATGCATTTGAAATAAGAATGACAGATGCAATAGAATGCACACTCATCTGTTTTACTGTATCCTTCACCCTTACGGTTAAAGTGATTACTTTATCTATCTTTACGGTGTCATTTTAACATATCCTATAAAGTAATATGAATGATCGGGAATGTACCAAATAAACTAAAACTGTAAATATTGTAATTAACTAACTGCATCTTAAATGCAATCGTTGATGTGAATTTAGCGTTTCCGCATACAGTAGATGGCAAATGATTGTTAATTTCATACTATACACACTGAATGGTATAATAATAAATGAGACTCCCCAGCGATTTCCGTTGGGGTATAGGTAATGGTGAAAGTTCTGTTTTCTTAAATTGTGTACAGTATTGAACGATAAATGTATAACGTAAAGAGAATAGGAGCTAAAAGAATTTATTTTAATATAAAGATCAACAGTTTCTTCAACTTTGCAATAAATTAACTATGCCTATTATACCTTAAGAGTGTGCAACTTTATCGCGGAAATTAATATCCGAACAAAGAAACAAGGTGTGTACTTCATTTAATTAACGGCATGGAATAATTAAAGAAAACCTGAAAGACACTTCATTACACATTAATTAATTTTGATAATAAATAATTATTAAAGGTACAAAATTGTAGTAAAGCTTCAATCCAATCATAGTAGGTACTCCTTGTTCTAAGTACCGAGTTTGTAAACTAATTAGAAGAGAGTCAATGCGTAAATGAAATGCAATTATTGAGTAGGCTTTCAAACGTACATCAAGCTAAACTTGGGGAACTAATTTTATATCAGTTCCGTTGTCATCCACTAAATTAAATTGATTACAAGAAATTAAATGAAAATCTTGAAGCGACTCGTCGTCCAACTAGCTACAAGATCACCTGATGAAACTTTTCAAACTTATTTGCTACTCTCTAAGTAGTTTCGTCTTTTTCTGCTCGGCAATACTGAGCGTGTCTACAGGCCTGTCAGTAAGGCATTCACTTATAATGAAAATCAATTGAACTTACTTAATAGACTGCAATTCCATGCTTGCTTCGTATACTAAACTAATTAAAGGTTATTAAAGTGTGCTTTTTATATGCCGCACTAATGCCGGGTTTCCTAAATCATCGTTTGGGAAACCGTGCATTATTCAAACATCTGGCTCTATGTAACAGGATTTGAAGATTAATATAGTTGGAAGCTAATAATGGAATAGTTTACCATCACTCTGAGGTCTTCTAATTTGTGGGTGTAAAATAATGTTACCAGGAATGTTACCCATAAATTCGTAAACTTTCCATCGGTCTATAGACCTCTAGATAGACAAAAAACTAAAAGTAATTGGGATATGCTTCGACACTTCGGATGACACAGATTCATCCCAACCAAGTTTTGAATTCCAGGTTTCCTGAAGTAGTAACTTTGGTACTAACGTCACAGGAGCTAATATTCCAAGCGGATCAAATATTTTAGCTACTTCAGCCAAAATAATTCGTTTAGTGGTAGCTTTTTCAACTCCTTTAACGTTTACAAAACATGACAAGGTGTCAGACCTTCGATTCCACTTCATTCCCAATACATTAGTAACTACTAGCTGTTCGAGAAAATCATCCACGTTACTTTCCCACATTCGAAGACAAAATTTCGCTTCTGCCATTATACGCGTTGACTCGTTCTTGAATTTCATGTATTCTTCGACGTTATCAAAACATGCAACTACATTATCAACATATATAACGTTGTTAATAACTTATCCGCTGTTGACCTAAGATGCTGATCAACTCTTCGCAAATGGTATTCAATAACTGCAGATAAAAGGAATGGACTACAGTTAACACCAAAAACGACACGCTTATGTCGATAAATTTTCATATCTGAACATGTAGAATCCTCCCACCAGAGAAACCGTAGGAAGTTTCGATCATCTTCCTTAACTCCAATCATCAAAAATGCTTTTTCAATATCAGCTGTTGCAGCGACTGACTTTTCTCTAAAGCGTAAGAGGAGGTCAGGAATAAGTTCGAGCAGATTGGGCCCCTTAGCTAAACATTGATTAAGACTTGACGCGCCACCTGCACTACAACATGATGCGTCAAATACCGGTCGCACCTTTGTAGTGCTACTGTCTGGTTTGTACACAGGTCGGTGTGGTAAATAATGACAACTTACACATTCACCTTTTACTTCTTCTATTACATCAAGGTTTAACCATTGTTTAAATACCTGTTCGTAGTCCATGTACTTTCCGTCTGCTTTCAACTTTTGTGTCGCATTTTCTAACCTTCTCTGAGCTACAAATTTGTTTGTAGGTAACCGTGCATGTGCATGATCATCTAACCAAGGAAGAGAAATTTGATATCTACCGTCACTATCCCTTGATACGGTCTGCCGAAAATGTTCCCGCACTTGGTCATCGACTTCGGCCTTTGTTAGCTTTTCACAAGGATCGTCAATACCAATTTTTTCTAAATCCCACAAATTTGTAATTGTGGATGACGAATTGAGCATTGACGTAACTATCATACTAGTAGAAGACCATTCACCACAAGTTTTTACTTTTCCCAAAACAGTCCACCCTAATAGTGTCTCAATTGCAGTTAACCCGCTTTCTAATTGATGCAACTTTCCAGTCAGCAACTTCCCATAAATATCACCTCCAATCAGAACTTCGATTTTATGACTTCCGCTACCGACGTCGTTCACTACAATACCACGTTCATGTAGCTCTTGTGTCCAATTGGCTTTTAATAGTTTAGGAATCCCACCACAAATGTTGTCTTCATCGTAGACGTCAAAATGACATTTGAATTTGGAAGACAAACTTTCCAAGTAAAGTTTATACTTTTTGTGCGTTTTAGAAACTGTAGATGCACCTCCAAACAAATTATGGGAAAACGTTAATTCTGCAATTTTACTGTACCCTAATTCTAACGCCAAACTTTTCAGAATATATGAGAATTGCGCCCCAGGGTCGATAAATGCACGCACTTCCTTAGATGTATTTTTTCCAAGGACTTTCACACGAAGTGTTTGTAGAATTACATCCCCACTGCATACACGACTCGCCATACTCGTAGACAAATTTTCTAAATCCTTATCACCTTCACTGCACTTTCTACTTTCTGATGTTGTATCACTCTTCTGGAGATCATGACATAAAATTACATAATGTCTCTTACTACATACGATACACTTCACTCGATATTTACAAGATTTTGATCTATGACCAAATCGTAGGCAAGTAAAACAACGCTTTGTCTCTTTAAGCTTCTGTTTTCTGTCTTCTAGGGACCACCCTTGTGCGATGAAACAATCTTGAGTATCGTGACTCTTTTCACAAAATCCACAAGAGGTTTTAACATTTCCAGAGTGTAGTTCCATTGCCGTAGGAATTTTCTCAACTTTTTTCTGGATTACATTTTTGACTTTATTCGAAGGATTTGAAGTCAAACCAAAACCTTCTTGAGCCAAGGAAATTCGTTGTTCACCTTCAACTTCCATACGTAAGAACTGCATCAATTTATTCAACTTATTTGTGGTTTTGTCAGCATCCTTCCACTTCGCACTTCTTTGCCATGCTTGTAATATATTAGTGGGCAGACAGGACTCCACCATCGGATACAGCATTGCGTCATACTTGTCTGAAGTTACTTTTAACGACTCCAATGCACGCAAATGACTTTCCAACTGGTCATAAAGTTTTGACAATCACCCTGTTTTTCAGTTTGACTGACATTGTGGAATAATTAATTTTAGCATTTCACGTACATAAACTTCAACCAAGAATTCTTCTCTCCCAAACCTCTCTTTTCAACGCTTTTACGGCTTTGGGATAATTCTCTGCAGTCTGCGGATAGCTACACACCAATTCATGGGCACGGACCCATCTACCATCAATTGTACCAAAAATTGAAACTTGTCACTGTCATGTAGTATGGTAATGTCTTCGTCTATCTTTTTAAACTGACTCCAAAATCCTAACCACTCTTTGACTTCTCCGTTAAACTTTTTGTAGTTAAATTTTGGCAATTTAAAATTTCTTTGATTACCCAATACTGGCAAGTTCTCATTTTCAGTTATGGATTTGCAATTTTCATCTCTCAGCACTTCAAACACTCGCCTTGCTGTTTGAAACATTTTCTTATTGAGCGATATCATCAAATTCTTCATTTTGTTGATCATCGTCCACGTTGTCGTCAAGCATTTGGTTTTTTATCGTATCGTCCAATGTTTGCAATTCCCGATGAGTATCCTCCAACATTTAATACATTCACACGCATCTGATCCAAATCCGGAATAGTATTTTGGCTTTCAACGTTTATGTCATCACACAACTTCTTCAACTTGCCGCCTGACAGGACGACGCGCTCTCTCTAATCGATCCATAGGTTTTCAAGTTTTCGAATTATCCAACAACTCACAGATCACGTCGGAGTCACCCAAAAATGTTCTAGTTGATGCGGCTAGGGACTACAACTACCCGTTGATAGTTTAACCGCGTGTGTAAAAAGATCATTCACGAAAAAGAGAATATTCTATAATCGATCAATTTTATTTTATTGACAAATTTCTATTAATTTCAAATCTGTTACATACATACTTGATTACTATAAATGCATCTTTCTTCATCGTGAATACGCTTACCAAAGGTGAAAAGTTCCAGGAGGGTTACTCATGAACCACTCTAGTCTGTCCACATTCCAAATCTTCCTTGGTGGATCTTCTGATTTTGTTTCATTCATTGAATTCCCGATCCCAATTTTTCTTCATTCAAAAAGAATGGCTAAGCTGCAAATAGCAGATTTGCCTAACAGGATGGGTCGCCCCGCCAGTTTTCTCTCCGTGAAAAGGTAGCATAAATATGATTCGGTACAAGTTTTTTGCTCTACACCAGAATAACCACTGCTTCCACACAGACGAATACCTCTTCCAGGTTAAGTCCCTCCGAGCCCATGTAATACGGTTTATTTTCCGTTTGTTAAAATCACTCGATCCTCCCAGCTTGTACTTTAGACTGATATATTTTAAGGTTCCTCAGTGAAAGTGGCGCTGCGATGGCTCTGCTCTTTAGGTCGCTTCTCCAGAGGGTGTTCTCCCATCTGGGAGCCACTATCAGAAATATCCCCCCTCGTATCCCCCCATAAGTGAATGAGGTGATTTAGTACTTCCGTCGGAGAGGAAAAAACCAGCCCAAATGCACCGTCCATATCCTGGAAGGGGCTTCCTCGTCGTTGGTTACTATCGACACATGTAAACTACCGTCGATCGCTTGGAGGCGAACAAGTCCACTTCTGGAACACCCCATCTTTCGAAGATTCACTACGTCTATGAAGGCTTCAGATGCCATTTCGCGGGATTTTTGTTCCTGGAGAGTTTGTACATTCTGGGTAGGTAATATGGCACTAGTCGAATCTGATAGCTCTGTGCTAGCTCCAGTCATCGCCGAGGAACACTATTAATTGAACGGAATTGATAAGGGTGAAGTTGCGAAAGGGATCTGATAGCCGCTGACTACCCCCTTCACGTGTGTTGGGGCACCTAGGAGATCCCACTGTTGCAGAAAATCTCTCAACTGACCTCCATTGAACTGGGGGTCGTTGTCGTTTAGCCTTATTCTCCCGGTTACCGGTGGTGGGGCACCTTCAACTGGACTACTTTGTATCAACTTGATAAAAAAATGCATTGGTGCCGACGATAATCTTTATTTTTACTCGGAGCGCCGAGGTTATGTTGCATTTATACTCGCAGGGTCAGGGTTAAAAGGGCTATCATCTATCACGGATACCAATGTGTCGTAAGAGCAAGATTGATGTGACTTAAGCGTCAAATCGGTTAGTCGTGAAATGCCACACAAAGACAGGCGAAACGTCGCAAGAACAGACGATGTGTCTGTCGTCGAGTCGCATGATGGATGACGACGCGTTGCATAAGAGTAGATGACCCGTCGCATGTGTGTAGGCGCCGTGTAGAAAATACTCTTGTCTAACTAGTAAAGGTTTCCAGGGAAAATAAGATACACTTACCTTACTCATTAAGGAGAACGCAGAAACAACACAAAAATCGTTTGAAGAGAACTAACATTCTACAATCACTTTCGCAACGTTAATAAGCGGTAGGTACATCCGCGCTACTTGAAAACCGATAGCGTACTAACGAAAAAAACCAGGGTTACTACTTTACTAGCCAGCCGTATTCGGTAAACGTTTACGAAGTTTAACGACGCAACACGAGTGGTACTAAACGTGAACGAAGAAAAGTGTAATCTACGAGAGAGGCACAGGCCCTGAAATACAAAATTATAAACGATCTCGGCCTGTTTGGTGCGAATGCGAGATTATTATTCAAAATATGAATGAGGTTCCCAAAAAACATAAAATCTTAGCAACTATGACTAACTATACAGGCTGTTTCACGCAAACCGTTACCTAAAAGTATTCAGGCTCTCATTGATAATTTAAATTTGAAAACTTGCATACCAACACAGCTTTTCATGATCTATCGAAAGAAAATATTATCATGGTCGTTTCCGTTTTTACCAGATGTGGATAGTAACTTTCTTATTTTAAATAGAACACCCTGTATTATATTGCATTTCGTTCCACTTGTTTATGCCTAAACCATATCCATTCAACGAATCCACATTGTTGCACGACGATGCACGAACATGCACTTCTTGCCAAATTTGATATCCATATGCGTACGCTTATCTCACACGTGGCGTTGTTATCAAACATGGCAGATAACGGCTTTTACATAAGCATTTGTCCAAATAAAAAAATCGTAAGTCGATTACAAATTAAATGTTTCCTTATTTATGCGTGTCCTAAATTTCTGACACTCATTCAATACAATAGAGGCCCTTAAATGACTCAAACAAATCCTAAATTTACAATTAAAAAAAACATTATAATGACCTTTAAATAAAATCCTCCAATTCTGTGTTTATTTGACAGCGTTCCCGTAAGCTCCTAACAAATAAATTAAAGGATTGTACAGGATGTCCCGCCTGAAACTTTCTAAATTATGTTTACATCAAGTAATTTTTCAACTACAGACTACATCACCGAAATTATTTCAATCGTTTCTCTGCAGTTTACTCAACATTATAGACCTTTCGAAGACCTTATACAATAATTTGATACTAAAACTTTGTATGTACCGCCCATATGAAGTTGGCCTGGTTTTGAAATAGCTATTTATGTAACAAGTTGCAAATTGACTGTCTTTGGCGCACTAGACGTGTATTTATCCAATGAGCGCAGCGAATGAAAACACCCTGTATCACTAAATCCAACTTTATCACTACCAAAGTGTTTCCTTTTAAGTTACATTTGGATCAAATGTATTCTTAACTTTAAAATCAAGGTCGCTAGGATTTATCAAAGTGGAGCTTGCTTATGGGGAATTATTCGGAAACAAATTAATAATTTGGTAACATTGACAAAAAACCAAAAAGTAAATAAGTTTCCATGCAGAGGTTAAAAAATGACATCGAAAGAACTAAAAATATACAGGGCGTTCCATTAAAAAATCAGTTGTCTATTGACACGGTAAAAATGGGACACCCTGTACATTGAAAAATAATTTCTGCAGATACGAAATCATCTATAGTTGACATTTGTACAACAGGTTTTTTGACATTTTTTACCAAGTATGACCTAGGAAAGACCGGCGCACTGTTGCAGGATCCTGTATAATAAATAACAATAGCCAACGAGTCCTGAGAAAGATAGATTTCCGCTCATGCTGAGCTAGTTGCCGGAGCATTACGGTAGGTAGTTTACTGCCCGAAATAAACTTACATCAAAAAGCAACAGAACAACAAAAGAGAGTGGACAGAAGAGAGAAAGTGCAGTGGAAATGACGGATCGAAACTGACTACTTAACAGACCGTGCGAAATAAAATCGCCGTGTTCTCACAGTTGCCTTGATTTCCCATCCCTTTATTCGCCCGATTTGGATCCGTCAGACCTCCACTTGTTCCCAAAAGTTTAACTGGATGCAGAACGACGAGAGGAGAGAGCCTGTGTAGACCTATTTCGAGAAGCTAGAGGAAAAGCACTCCCGTACGAGGGTCGCGGAATTGGAGAGACGGCGGCCGAGTGCATTTTGACTTCGCATAGCATCGTTGTTAGGAGACCTATTAAATACCCTCGTTCTGCTGGCCAAGTAATGAACTTGATTTCGTTGTTAACACTTTAACAGCAAGCACAATGACCGTCTTTCATCTAAGCGTAGTTCAATACGACACGTCCTTTGTCATTTCAATAAACCCCATTGATCTCCATTACTATTCAAGATACAAGCCTACTTTAGTATTTAAGAAATTTGAATTTAGTATATTTAGAATTCTGTTCCCGATTCTGATTTGTAATGCAGGCCGTATCCCGACATCAATATATCTATTTGCGCCAAAATCCAGCCTTCTGTTAAAAAGGGACTGCACATAAAATGGAAACTGTGATGGATGCAAATACATGGAACGTTTTAAGATAGTGTTAAGCTTTATCCCTATAGCTTTTTATAACTTTTGTTCAGTACGTTTTTTATCGTAAAGATTGTTTTGTTAGACTATCTTGGCGTTCAATGTATTTATAGAGCTTTAGAGATTAAAGACATCTATTTGA